CAAAAATATTTTTTTAGGAGGAGGGGACTCCAGTTCGGTTCTTTGTTTGGAGTTGAATTCTTCCTGGTTATTGGGTACAATGTTTAGGGGGGAAAAAAAAAATATGAGGATTTGCCCAGCCAGTATGACTCAGTGATTGAGCGCTGACCAAGGAACCAAGAGGTCATGGGTTTGATTCCCAGTCAGGGCACATGCCTAGGTTGCAACTCAACCCCCAATAGGGCGTGCAGGAGGCAGGTGATAGATGATGTTTCTCTCTCTTAAAAAAAAATCAATAAAAAACATTTAAAAACATGATGAATTCCATTCAATGTAATGTGAGACAACTCTGAGGTCCTGCCAGAATATTTTTGAATTTACATTCTAGTAGGGACAATATATATCCTAAAAATAAAATCTTAGTTTCATGCTTGGAGCTCCATTTTTTAAAGTATTTTAGTACATTGCTGATTAACAATAATTGGTGTGTGCATATGTGCGAACTACTTTGCCCTATGTACTTACTCTTTTCAAGTCTATATGATTTTCAAAATACACTGAGGGGAAAATGATTCTCTAAACTGATCAAATATTAGAGCTTATCTTATCACTTCATTTTAGAGAAGAAGCAACTGGAACATAGAAAGATAAAGTGATTTTGTCAAATTCAAAGTCTCTGGCAGTACTTGAACTACAAACTACCTCTGTTGTAACTGGGCATGCTGCTAGAAATTAGAAAACTCTAGACTTTAGTTTTATTCACCTTTTTCCTGCCATTATTTTTACTTTTGCTGTGTGTGTCACAATAGGCTTTTATGCACAAAATTATACCCATTCATAGAAATATTTTTTGAGCCAAATTCAGTGTGGATACAAAGCTGAAATAAAAATCACATTAGCACTTTCGAATAATATCAATAATATTGAATTATTGAATCTAGTTATTTTCTAACGTAAGTGGAAAAGAATATATTGAATCAGAAACTCATGTTTTCAGATTTTTTCATTAAAGCTACAGATACCTGAATGTCAAGAATGCAGAAGTTTAAGAAAGGACCTTAAACGTGATAAATACATTTTCCCCCAGTGGACACAAGTAAATATAATCATGGTGTATTGTTTAAATTTCCAAAAAAATTGAGTTTCTATAATTCTCAGTTATTATGAATATGATTGCTGAAGATACAGATTTGTAGATTGGTGGATTGGGGGGAGTTTTGAGAGAATTTTAAAAAATAATGGGCCAGTAATTAAGTAATATCTGTCTTATGTCAACAAATGGCCAACATGGCCAACATACTGCCCCACTTCTGCTGGCAGTGTTAAAAGTCTCAAGTGTTTCATGTCACTAGTACTATAAGAGATTTGAGTGCATGTAAACTATCATTATTTCATTATATTGTGCTACACTGGCATTGGTGTATGTTCCCATCACACTTTATTTTTAAACGTTTATTGGGTAATACTTGACATATAAAAAGCATATTCAAAATATATTTATGCATAATATGTAGTGTATTTGTATTACAAAACACGATGAAATAAACACCCAAGACACCACCTAAGAATTAGGACTTTTAAATAATCCTCATTTCCCTTTGCACAACTTTCTTATCCCACCTCCTTGTTTCCTCTACCCACTGACAATAACCACCATTTTGAGCTTTTCATTCCCTTCTTTAAATATAGTTTTATCACTTATGTATGTTTTCTTAAGAACATATTACTTAGATTTGCTAGTTTTGAGCTTTTGTATGAATTTAATTCTATGACTTGCTTTTTTTCAATCAATACTATGCTTTTAAGATTTATTCAGCTGTGAGCTATAACCTGCTCTTCCCAGTTGGGAGTCCTCGCTGCCATTTCAGATTGGTTACTTGAATTCAACTTCAGCGGGAGCACATTATGGAAACCAAAAATTTCTACAAATCAGGGCTTTCTCTTTTCAAAGAAACAGTTGGTAACATTTATTAGCACTCCACTAGTTTCGTCCGTCTTATGTGTAGTTGAAATGCATTCAGTTTCCTACAATATAACACTTCCACAATGTCTACCCATTTTCCTCTTCGGGAGCATACTAAGAAGGGTTGTTCACATTTCATGGTACAAGACTTGTTCCGCTAAGATATTTTCTTAGAAGTGGAGTGCCTGGGTTTTAGATTATATAAATGTTCAAGATTTTAAGATAATGGGAAAGTTTCCAAAATTGTTTATGCCCACCTGTAGTGTATGACTTTTCTTTCATCTATGTCTTCACCAGCACTTGGTTTTGCCAAATTTCTTAATTAATGGCAAACAATTGGTTATAACACAGCACCTCTTTGTGGTCTTAATTTGCTTTCCCTTGGTTACCAGAACATTAAGCATCTTTCAAATGTTCACTGGCCAATTGTGTTTCTCCTCTTCCATGAAATGTCAATTCATACCTGTCGCTTATTTTTCTATTGTTTTTGATTTTTATTCAATTCTAGATGTTCGGGGGATGGAGGGATTGAACAAAAAAGAAAAAACTGTAGATGTTCTTTATGTGTGTATTCTGAATATTAATATTTGATCAGTTACAAATATATTTCAAGTATATTTTCTTACTTTGTGGAATAGCTATTCACTTTTTATGGCATTCTTTGATGAACAATTTCTAACTTTCTATAGTTGATTTTTTTTATTTCATAGTTAAGATTTTTTCCATCTTGTTTAAGATGTCCTCCTCTATCCAGATGTAAAAAAAATGTTTCTACTGTTTCTCTTTTAATTATCCCAGCTGGATGTCCAGCTGCTTCCTGCTAGAATACGGAACTGTGAAGCAGTGATGTACCTTTAATGCCATCGTAGTGACATTACACATGCTTAATTATTCAGCAACCATTTTGAAGTGCCCTGCCGTGAACTTCATATGCTAAGCTAAGGAGTTTGAATTTTGTAATATATAAAAGGGGGGTGACATAAGCAGCTTTCTTCGTAAAAAGAGATAATGAGCTAAAGAGGGGTGAGATAGTACAAAGACTATTTGAGATAGTACAAACAAGGCTGTTAAATTCGACAGAGAACGAGGACAAACACACAGACCAGGCAGCATCAGGGAAAATGAAGAGGAGGCTTCCTGGGAAAGGCAATTCTGAAGTGACACTGACATGATTTGAGAACAATTCAATATAAGGATGAGAGAGGGAACAAAATCTATATAATATTGACACTTCTGGCAGGGAAGAATAAAGGGATCCCTGATGTGAGAATGGGAGTAAGCAATGTAAAGTACCCCAAACCAGCTGGAATTCGTGACATATTTTGGCAACAGCCAACATATGGTTGACCTGTTTGTACCCAAAACAGGCACAGACATGAAGAGCCTGCTCCTCAGAATCCATATTCTTTTGCCCTGAACCTCCTGATACCCATCCTGAAGGAGGGGTACACATATGACAGGCAGCGATGTAGGTACTGTGGGATTGAAAACTTACTCAAAGAATCCAGGATTATTTCATCTGGAGAAGGAAGTATTTGTGTCATCTCCTCTGTTCTTTCTGCCAAGTTGTCTCCTTGAAGTCTAAATAATTAAAAAATAATTAGAAACAATTAGAAGTGTGAAGTACATTCTATGGGGGATTGGTACTATTAACTTCTACACTCTAAAATCAGACATGCTTCTTCAAAGGAGAAATAAAATTGTACCAAAGCCTTTGTAATATGGTGTTTTTGCTATACTACCCTTGAAAAGTCTTTCTTTTTTTTTCTCTCTCCTGTATACATGGGAAGGTTAGTTTAGGTAGAAACTGCTTTTCTTCCTGGCCTGATGGGAGGACGGTTTATAAGCAAATGTTTTCACTGAAACTACAACAAGGGAGCGAGTGGAATAAAAACAAGAGCATATTCACCTGATTTCTGGGTCCAGGGGCATGAGAAGGTTTCCATTCTACACAGTTTACCAAACACAATTCTCTAAATAAACCAAACCTGAGCGAAGGCCTGCAGATCAAGGTAAGTCTCAATAGTGGAGATAAAGATTCCTAATGCATGTGACTTCCCAGGCTCTCAGACACTGTGGCTTCTTCAGGAGAGGAAGGCTGTGTAGGTACTTTTATGACAGTATATTTCTGAGCCTTTCTATCCACATCTCTATGCTGAGAAAAATAGACTCGCAGAACCCAATTCAAACAGTCTGGGTTTATATTACACTGTGAACTACGCTATCAAAGGAGGGAGAGCTCATCAATAAATGTTGGAACTCTGTCCTAAGGACAACAGATTAAACTCTGCTAATGTTGGAGGACATTACATCAAACAATCTGGAGACTGGAGTTTTTATCAGTTCCCTTACTTTTTTCTTATATTTAGCTGAAGGCAAATGCCCTCACTGAAGAATATGAATAAATGCATAACACATAGCAATGACATTTTAAAAACCAAGTACATTTCATAACTGTACCACTCTTAAAAATTAAAATTTTCAACTATTTTATATCTTTGCTTTTGTATGCCCCAGTGGAATCATGTAATAATTTGCATTGACTTCTGCATATTTAAGCACATGCATATCTTTCTCTACCTTCTGTGTAATAATACATGTTATAAATGATATTTTCATTTGTATTCCTATATTAAATTTTACATATTTCTGTATATAGTATACATTTATACTTACATATATTCCCTTCTATACACAAACACACATTTGCTAATACAGTAAATAAGTAACAGCTAATTAAAGAATTCTTAAGGGTAACTTCCTGACAGTTATAACAATTTTTGGCCAAATATGTATATTTAAAAATTTTTTTTAATTTTTCAATTACAGCTAATATTCAATATTATTCTTTATTTCATATATACAGCAAAGTGGTTATAAAATAATGTACTTTACAGAGTGGTAGCCACCTGGCCCAATACCTATTTACTTCTATATTATTGACTATATTCCCTATGCTGTAATCTACGTCTCATTGACTATTCTGCAACTACCAATTTGTACTGCTTAATACCTTCATTTCTTTCACCTAGACCCCCAATTCCCCCCTTCTGATAGCTGTCAGTCTGTTCTCTGTGTCTATGAATCTGTTTCTATTTTGTTTATTTTGTTCATTAGATTCCACATATAAGTAAAACCATATGGTATTTGTCTTTCTCTGACTGGCTTATTTCACTTAGCATAATACCCTTGAATCCATCCATGCTGTCACAAAGGGTAAGAGTTCCTTCTTTTTTACGCCTGCAAAGTATTCCATTGTGTAAATGTACCACAGCTTTTTTATCCACTCATTTACTGATGGGCTATTGTAAATAACGCTGCAATAAACACAGGGATGCATATATTCTTTCAAATTAGTGTTTCGAGTTTCTGCAGAAATGTTCCCAGATGGCCAATATGTATATGAAAAGATGTTCACATTACTAATCATAAGAGGAATGCAAATTAAAACCACAATGAGGTATCACCTCACACCTGCCAGAATGGCTGTTGTCCATAAAGTAAGAAACAAGTGTTGGCAAGGATATGGAGAAAAGGGACCCCTAGCACACTGTTGGTGGGAATGCAGATTGGTGTGACCAATATGGAAAACAGTGTGGAGGTTCCTCAAAACATTAAAATAGATTTTATACTTCTAGTTAATTTTTAAAATTTTACTTGAAAAAAACAACCCAACTTTTAAATGAATGCTTTAGCTACGTCTCAAATCTGCCCAACTATTTCTTCTTTATAATCATAACTAGGATAAATACTTCACTAATCAACAATATAAAATATTCTTTTTTGAGCTTTTTTCTAGCCCCACTTCATAAAAATTATCAAAGATGGGACACATGTAGGTACATGAGATATTAAAAGGTGTAAGTCAAAGTTGTTAAACATTGATAATGAGCTCCAACACATTTGGGCATTTAACATTAGGTTAAAAACCTAAATGGAAAATAAATCTCCATCAAAGGCAGGAAAAAAGCAATAAATAAATAAGTTGTAAATCTATTTTGCTCACTGCCAGCTTCAGTAAAAAGAAAAAATTATTTACCATTTATTAATATGCTCAATAATAAGCCAAATGTTGTGGAGATGTAAAGAAATGACAACTGTCCCTGATTTCACAGAGGCCGCAATTTAGCTGAGCTGAAAAGACAAGTGGCCATGAAACAACCCAACAAGTTGGGTGGCCCTGAATCTGGCTCATCCTTGTTCAAGCAGTGCCCTCCAGATACCTTGAGAGTTGAGTTTACCGTGACTTGGCACCAACTCCACTGCGGAGTGCTTCACAGCCTGCTATCCTTGAGTGCTCTGCCAATGTTCCCCAAGCTGTAATCCACACAGCACTACTTCTGTAAGAGGTTAATAGGTGCTATACAAACAAGGGTTGTGTGGGCAAGGCCAGGAAATATAGCTCAATCATAGTTACATCATTTTATTCCCTACAAGAGTTTTACTCAGACTCCTAAACTTTTTTCTCTGCTTTCTAAAGCTCCTTTTCTGTATTAAGCACTCTTCTACATTCTCACCCTCTCAACAAAATGTGTCCTGCTCCTCCTTGTTATAAATAAAATATATTTTTAAAAAAAGAATATTACATCCCCTTTTTTCTCTAAGAGTACAGCTTCCTAAACTTCACCTTAGATAACAAGGAATTATAAATATTAACCTGTTATCTTTCTGCCATGAAAGCTTTGCTCAGGCTTAATTTTTTTTCTTCAACTCAAGTGTTAGTATTATCTTGACTGATTTTCATGTTCATGTGTATTTATCCACTGCTTCTTTTTTTAAAATTTTAAATTACAAAAACTTAATCTTTATTCTTAAAAGTATTACATATGCCCCCCTTTTCCCCCATTGACCCTTTCTGGCCTGCACCTGCCTCCTGCCCCAGGCCTTCACCACACCACTGTCTGTGTCCATGGGTTATTCATATATGCATACAAGTTCTTTGTTGGATCTCTTCCCTCCCACCCATCCAGCCCCTCTGAGATTTGACAGTCTGTTCCATGCTTCTATGTCTCTGGATCTATTTTGTTCATTAGATTCCACATATGAGTGAGATCATGTGATATTTGTCTTTCTCTGAGTGGCTTATTTTGCTTAGCAAAATACTCTCCCGGTCCCTCCATACTGTCTCAAAGGGTAAGAGATCCTTCTTTTTTATTGCTGCATACTATTCCATAGTGTAAATGTACCACGATTTATAATAGTTAAGATCTGGAAATAGCCCAACTGCCCATCAGTAGATGAGTGGATATCCTCTGGTTTCAAAGTCCCTCCATCTCAGATCTGGATATCTTCCCTCCACGTCACCTTCCCTAACCCAAAGACCGAGAACTCAGAATTGTCCTACGTCAGAAATTGTTAAATACAATGTTCAGTTCCCTAACAACAAACTCACCCCCTTTAGGCCCTTTCAATGTCCTTAACACTTTTTCTTAATTAGACATAGATCTCCATTTGCTCTAACTTTTCTCCTGGGTATCTGGCCCCTCCTGATTCCCTTCCTTCCCTACTCAGCTGGACTTGCTGTCTTCTCAGTTCCCATGGACCCATGTCCTTCTGCTATTACTGTCCAACCAGACCCTAACCCTGTATTATTTTGCACATGCGCAGCTGAACACTGCTGGAGAAATCATGACACTCTAGGAGCAGTGAGTATAAAACAAAGGTCCCTAACTTTGAATTTGGGCTTCTTGGTTGTTTTCCTTTCTTCAAGTCCTTTCAAAGTTTTTTCAAAAAGTTCACCTCCCTTCTGTGTCATCCAGAAAAGTTATGTAATCTGGAATGAAGACCTTCTACTCCCCCTCACAGAGAACCTACAAAAGTCTTCACCTGGACTTGTATTTACCTCTCATAGAGGGTGAGAGGCCCTCTTTCCTATCCAGGGGTGGGGAACCCTTTTTCTGCCAAGGGCCATTTGGATATTTATAACATCATTCGAGGGCCATGTGGAAAAGGCCATAAGAAATGGACTGATCTGGATAAAGTCTGTAGCTGGAGCCAATAGTATATCTCATCAATTGGGCTTGAGTTTGTGAGAGAAAGGGAGGCGTAAACAATATCGCCATTTTCTGTCCTGAGCCATTGTGGAGGTAAGGAAACAGGGAAAAGAAAATCTAGTGCCAATTAAGTAGAATGTACTTGGGGACATGATAAGTTTCAAAGGCATTTTAGACATGTTGGTGGAGGTGTAAAGTCACAGGTGGAGATGCTGAACAGACTGGGTCCTAGGATGAGGCTTTCCCTTTCTGGGTTGCAAAATCTCTACAAAGAACTTCAGAATGTGGTATTCTATTCTTTTTATTAAAATATGTTTTATTGATTTCCAGAGAGGGGAGGGGAATGGAGAGGGAGAAAGAGAGAAACAGCAATGTGAGAGAGATATATCAATCCCCAGCCTCCTGCACCCCAACCCCCCCACCAGGATGTACCCTAATAGGGAATCGAACCAGCAACCCTTTGGTATACAAGTTAATGCCCAACCAACCGAGCCACACCAGCCAGGGTGACATTCTACTCTATAATTTAGCTATTTTGAAGAATATGATACTCTGTTGCACTGGAAAATAAATTGTGTATCATAATAC